CATTCTCATACATTGTCTTATAAACGGCTAAAATTGTAACGCAATCGCCAACAGCATAATGTCACGTATTAATCGTATTCAACGTCTGGGCCGCCTTTGGTTTCTGCAACGTCGATTGGTTTACCAGCCGAATGTTCGCTGGGAAATGTCAAGATTTTCGATCATCTCACTCCACAGACGCAGAAGCTACTCGCCGACGCTAAGAAATTTCAAGCTCGAAATGGATTCAGGTCCTGTTGGTCAAAAGACTTTGTTGTCATTTTCGAAAGTCTGCGGAGTCTCGTCCCATCCGGCTCAAAAGCCAGGAAGACCTTGAACGATTTGCTCGCCAAAAGAACTTACCTATGAACTAAGTAGTGTACTTGTGAAATACATGTAATTCTCGTAATATTATTACCTACTCTTAGAAACTAAAATTGATGAGTGAGGAGACGTATCTCCAATCTATCCTTCCTTTTAATCATTTAGACGCAAATTCTTTCAACATAGCACTCTATGAATCGAAATGTCTCATGGCACTTTAAATTATAATAGTGATCGCATTGAATCTCTCTTGTACAATCCTGTAGATCAGCCCGGTTTATCTGATCCACTCTCAAATGATCTTAACCTTGATTCAAACTTTTTTACTCGCTTACCGACTAGCAGATATATGGTCGAGGAAGATATTAATCATCAGGTTAGTTCCTTTAATGAGAAATCGATGTTTTCTATTTTGCATTTAAATTGCCGCAGCTTGAATTTCGTGGCTATCATAATACAGCTATATATTATTTTAGCTAGTTAAGAGAGAAACCACACGATGCAAAGTTAGCTAAAGCTGTGCTTACTACGTCGGAACTTGCTTTGGAAAGTGAAACTACGAAAACCACTCGAGGGTTTCTAGAAATTTCGAGAAAACAATGATTATCATAATACGTCATGGATGGAAGACGTCTTTCGAAGTTTCTGGAGTGCCAAAACGTCAGCTTGACAGGATGTGAGATGAGCTGAAAATCCAGCCGGGATGTGTAAAGCGGCATTCGGGATGAACATATCTTGGCCTGAGCAGCATGTGTTCCGTTCAACTAGGAAATGCGGGATACATTTTATATTGAGGGGCGGGATGGGGGATGAAAAGTGCAAGTCATGGCAACTTAATGACTGGAGGAATTAATTTAGCTTTCTGGTGTGTCTGTAAACACAAATGATTTAAAAAGAAGGAGTTTTTAAAACAGCTTGCCAATCGTGTTTCAGTCACACCAACGTCGCTACTTCCAACTGGTTTTGATTAGTCTTTAAATACATGACGTGAAAGTTAAAAGTAGTGAGTGATTAACGTCGACGTTGCGGTCACAAATTATCTCAGGTTCTGACTTTGTGTTGAAAATTTAAAAGTAAATTGACCGTGAACAGTTTTTATATTACTATTTCAATCTGCTATGAATATGCTATAACTAAGCTAAAATCATTATTTATATCCACTAGCTTTGGTGAGTCACCACAGTGAAACCAAAACCAATGCGCGTCGATAATAAGAACTTTTCCCCAGAAAGGTAAGCAAAAAGGGAAAGTTAAGCAACTTGTTACTACTAAAAAACGACGATTCGAAACAATCATTTGTGTGACTTAATTTTTCGCGTGTCTCACTTTTGACGCTTACAACAGGAAGAAAATCAGTCACGCGATTCGTGACGTCTCTTCCAATGTAAACTCTAGATCTTGTGTATGTGCATGCTGTTGGTCACAAATAGCTTTACAGATTATAAACTTACTGTGTTCAGTTTGTCAGTCTTCTCGTAAAAGTGAAACCCGAAGTGATTGAAACTGAAGCAGCACTTAGGGAGTTTCCCTGCAAGACAATAGGACGTCCAATAAGAAGTCAAAACAAATTAAAATTAAAATATGTTTAAAACGTTGAGTAAAACAATCGAATAAAAACATTCGAAAGTAAGTTACATTTTTCTATTCACATACTTTGTTGACTTAGAGCATATTGGGTTTTTCAACATGGCTAATGTTCAGTAAAACGGTTTTCTAGCTAGACAAAGTTCTTTCAATTGCTGTCTGTTGCTGTTCGCTCTATCGCTTAGCCATGCATAAAACACAATAGGTGTTAACTCAGTTCTGTCTTATAAATTAACCACCAGAAACGTTTCGGTTATATAATTGATACACTGTTGAAAGATTTTTCAAAATCCTGGACCTTCCCATATAAATCTTAGCATCTTTGTTTGCTCTTTTAAAACCTCTAGGGCTTAGAAAGCACTCCAGTTTTTCATTAAACTCTGTGTCGGTGATTAATATAATTTACATTCCTCGATGAAACAACTAATGAAAGCTACTTCTGCTATTGTTTTATTGTAAAACTGGAAGACCGTGAATTCACTTTTCGTCAGTTTTCACTTTATAATGTACTTTGTACGATTTGGTCGATTTCAAACTCTCGTTTTCCCATGGTAACAGACATCAGAGCCGACAGAGCCAAAAAGTTTGCTCTTAACTAGCGAACGGTGGAACTTGCAATTAACCGTCACTTCTTATGGTCTGAATGTCGTGGCTTTCATAATCGAGCCAGATATTATTCTAACTGGTTAGGATAAAAACCAGACGATACAAAGTTAGCTTGAGCTGTACTTATCACGGTGGAACATGCTTTGGAAAGTGAAACTGCGAAAACCGCTTGAGGGGTTCTCGATCAGATTCTGATTATCAGACACTACTTATCATAATACGTCAAGCATGGAACATGTATTTCGAAGTTTCTGGAGTGTCAAAACATAAGCTTGGCGGGACGCGGAATAAGCTGAAAATCCTGGCGGGATTTGCAATGCGGGATGCGGGATGCGGGATTCGGGATATCTTGACCTGAGCAGTATGTGCTTGTTTCAACCAGGATAAATTTGAAATTGAGGGACGGGATGCAGGATGAAAATTAGCAAATCACGGTTACAAAGTGATTTAAGAAATTAATTTACCTTTCGGGAGTGTTTGGAATCACTGATGAGTGAAAGGGACAAGGAGTTTTTAAAACAGCTTGCCAATCTCGTTTCGGCCACACCAGCGTCATTAACAACAACTGATTATGATCAGGCTTTAATTACATAACGTCAGATTTAAAGTGCCACTGAAACGAAATTTTTGTATGTGAGATTTTTGCTTAGTAATACAGTTTCAACCTTACTTGGAAACACTGCAATTTTTTTTTTTTCGCCTACGGTAAGCGAAAACTGCTTTTTCAGCCGTTCGAAGTTGGCTGGTTAAGCCCAAAATTGGCGGCCATTTTGGCGCGGCCAAAACAGCCTAGTGACGTCNACTGGTTGTATTACTCTCATGCCGCGCTGAAAATTTAGAGTGATTATGGGAGAAGAGATTACTGTTCAAAGCCCCCCAAAAAACATCTTAAGGACATCTCAGAGCTTTAAAGCAAATAATAACAGTAGCCTTAGACACGAAGAGGTGGAGAGTCGATCCTGGAGCTTTTCAGTCTATTTAATTGGATATTTGCAGGATATTTTATGTAAGCAAACAAACGAGTGGGAGTTCTTACATCGCAAAATGATCGGGACTCTTGGTGAAATGGCCAGCACTCAATTAAACAATATCTACACTCATAAAGTAAAAAAGACATGAAAACAAGAGAAAGCGG